TTGAGACGAGGTCTACAGTATAGTCCTTGCTGATCTGGAACTTTTTATGTAGACCAGGCTGGCCTTAAACTCACAGAGTTCTGCCTGCCTTGGTCTCCTAAATGCTGGAATTAAAAGATGTGTGCTGCCATGGCTGACTCTGTTTTTAGTGTTTTGCAGACACTACGTACAGTTTTCCATATTTCACAAGCTCCAGTTTCTCCGCATTTTCACTGATAGTTGTTTTGTTCCCTTCCTCTCTCCCTTCCTCCCTACTTCACCTCCTCCCTCTTTTCCTTTGTTTCTCTCTCCCTTTCCTCATCCCTTCCTTTCTTTGCTGGTGGCCATCCGAACAGGTGTGAGGTAACATAACACTGAGCTTTTGATTGACACTCAGAACCTTGTATTTTGTTTTTTCATATCCTTTCATTTATGTTGTCTCACTAATGAAATGAGTGCACATGGAACATAATTTAAAAGTTCCCAGTAACTTATACTATAGCAATTCCCATTTCAGGAGACTGTCAACTAGGAACCAGTAAGTCTCAAGTCAACTTGACCTGTAGCCGTCTGTGTGCTTGGAACTGTCTATAGAGGTTGTTTCCTTATTGGAGGGGATGACATTGCCTATGCAGTTGATGGCCTGGTGCCCTCTCTGCAGATTTAAGTAAAAAAACCATCTCTTTTTATTTTTAGCCTCTCACCCCAAGGCAGAGTTTGGACCTGTAGGTGGTTTATGACATGTCTGAATAGGATTCCTATGTAATAAAATTCCTGACTATTGTTGCTCACCCCACTTTGCTTTTTTTCAGGGAAACATTGCAGAGAGGAAGTGTTGCTGTGAATTTTGCAAATGTTCAGGCGTTCCAGGGTTTCATGGAGTCCTAGGACAACAAGGCTCAAAGGTGACTTTCAAAAGTGACCCCGTGTTCTCTGATATGCCTTGTCCTGGGTGGGACTGAGATTGGGTGGCTGAATTTGCAATCCTTGGTCCCTGGGATGTAAGTGCCTTGGGCATTTCATGTAACCTTCCTTGTGGAAGAGCCAGTTCAGAAGGACTCCCTTTGATGCTGCCACTAAGAGCAACTCCCTTTTCTCTCGCATATCCCTAGTGATGGCGCTTCTTGAGTTTGCAATTTACGCTTTCTAAATCTGCTTTAGACAGTTTGAAAGGTGTTAAAAATAGTGGAGGGAGTTGTGCTTCATCAACAATAAATAAGATTGAACTGCAAAAAGCGTTGCAGATTAATGGACATTTAAAACAATAAGTTATAAAAGATAATTACACAGCAATAGAATGGAAAACACATCATGGCATTTTCAATGAAACACTCTGTGTCAGCTCAAATGATTGAACTACAGCTACCCACAAAAATATGAATCAGTTTTACTCATATAGTAATGACTAGTGAGAGTAAGAAAAACTGAGGAATATACATAGTATGGTTCCATTTATTAAAATAAGAGGCAGGTAAAATTAAGCCATGCTGTGTAGGGATGGATGCCTAATTAAGTGGTGAAATATTTAAGGGCCAGGGAGTATATTATAAATGTTAACAGTGCACTTCTGGGATGGGGTTGGGAGAGTGGTTTGAGGTGATTATGATGGGATGGCTCTGTGCTGGAGACTGGCAGTATTTCAGTTCCTGTCCTTGGTGATGACTGCACAGATGTCGTGTATAATTAGTGTACAAAGGTCACTGTATGGCAGTTAAACTGTTATATTTATTTCATATGCATTTTTCAAATAGGTTTTAAGCATCACAATAAAAGAACTTTTGTAATAAATGTATTTATTTTCTTCTTAACAAATTTTACCCTGTATTTTCTTTCCTCAATATTTTTAAAAGGACTTAAAATTTTTACATTTATTTATTTACTTACTTATTTACTTATGTGTGGGCATACATGTACCATAGCACATATCTAGTCAGAGGATATCTTGTGGGAGTCAGTTCTCTCTTTCCACTATGTGAGTTCTGGGACTCAAACTCAGTTCATCAGCCTTGGTGGTAGGTGCCTTTACCCACCAAGTCATCTTGTTAGCCCAGAAGAGGGCTTTACAAAAGAGAACAACTATAATTCCAAAATGATTTCTGCATTGACTGTCCATGTTGAAGGATGATTTTTATTGGATATTTTACTGTATCACAATATTCTGTTTCTAGAACTCTTGCTCATCAATAGAATTATGCTCCAGGGGCACAGCAGGGACCTGTGTTAGGAGGTGGGGAAAGCAAATCTCAATGGGATCTTTGCCATGAGTAAGCCATGAAACAGTTAAGCCACGCATGGCTGAGAAAGTGGTGATGTCATTTAAATGTATCCAATCTTGGTGGAAGGCTTGCTCTTCTTTGAGTGCTCAGAAAGACAGAAGAAAGTCAAAGGAGCCCTTTGACATGCTTTTGATTTGCCTGAAAATAAAAGTTGGTGGTGGACACAGCTCCCTGCAAATCCTTCAGATATATGAGTGACCCTGTGGTCCTCACCCACAGGAGGGTTCCCAGGATCAGTCTCCTGTGTCCCTAGGAGGGCCTCCTTCTGCAGAGGGGCTTCAGAGATAAAGTCAAAGACAAGAGCCAGGGGATGGAGAGATGGCTCAGCTGTTAAGAGCACTGACTGCTCTTGCAGAGGACCTGGGTTTGATTCCAAGCACCCACACGGCAGCTAACAACTATCTGTAACTCCAGTTCCAGGGGATCCAACACTCTTCTGACTTCTGCAGGCACTGCATAGCACAGGTGCACTTACACACATACACCCATACACATAAAATAAAAAATTTTAAAAAATCCATTTTATTCCTAAAATTTCAAATAAAAGGAAAAAATTTTTGTCTCACTATGTAGCTTGGTTGGGCTGGAATTCTCTATGTAGACTTGAATTAACTTGCTGAGAATCTCCTGCCTCTGTCTCTGAGTGCAGCAAGTGCTCTTAACTTTCAGCCAACTCTACAGCCCCAAATAGCACATTTCTATGGTGTACAACACTCATACCTTTTAGAATGAGGGGTGGGGTAAAGACTAGGAAGTCTTTCCTTTCACTGTCACCTGACCACTAAGTGACCACTAAGATCTTTATAACCTACAAAAGTGAAGTCCAGAGTACTTTCTTGAACCAAAGTGCAGCTGTTGTCATCATTTCTGACCAATACTGAGAAGCAGAATATTCACTGTAATTAGAAAGCTGATGATACATGGGAGTCATTTATAGTCCACTC